GAGAGAGGAGAGAGGACGAGAGAGGGAGAGAGGAGGAGAGAGAGGAGAGAGAGAGAGGAGAGAAGAAGATAGAGGACAGGAGGGAGGAGAGAGAGAGAGAGAGAGAAGAGAGAGAGAGAAGAGAGAGAGAGAGAGAGAGAGAGAGAGAGAGGAGAGAGAGAGAGAGAGAGAGAGAGAGAGAGAGAGAGAGAAAAGAAGAGAGAGGAGAGGGAGAACGAGGAGAGAGAGAGGGAAAGAGAGGAGAGAGAGGGAAAGAGAGAGAGAGAGAGAGAGAGAAGAGAGAGAGAGAGAGAGAGAGAGAGAGAGAGAGAGAGAGAGAGAGAGAGAGAGAGAGAGAGAGAGAGAGAGAGAGAGAGAGAGAGAGAGAGAGAGAGAGAGAGAGAGAGAGAAAGAAGAGAGAGAGAGAGAGAGAGAGAGAGAGAGAGAAAGAGAGAGAAAGAGAGACAGAGAGAGAGACAGAGAGAAAGAAAGAGAGACAGAGAGAAAGAAAGAGAAAGAAGGAAAGAGAAAGAGAATGAGAGAAAGAGAGAAAGAGAGAGACCAAAAAGAAAGAAAGAAGTTTCAAAGCTTACTTACTTGAAAGTCTTCACATAATCTGCGACTTGTTCAGGAGATGTGATATAAGCAACGTAGTCTACAATCCTTCTGTTGACAATATCTCCAAACATGGCTTTTAAAATCTGTCTTAAAAACAGCATGATCCGACGTCTAAACCACTGATCCTTACTTCTAAGATCAAAGACTTCATCCATTAGCAATAACAGGATGCGTAGAGGAATATTTTCATCTCCCTGGAATGATTAAAATGAAAGTAAAACCCAATGCACACAAAAAGGTAAACTATCTTAAACAGTCCAAATGCATTTGTCAACTTATATTCTGATGTAATGTCTATGGTGAAAAAAACTAAGAAATAGAAAATAGGAAAAAATATCACACAGTCATGTATTTATTTACGAAAAGGCATAATTTGTAGAATCTTGTAAAGATATCTGGCACACTTTCTGAAGTTAAACAAAATTGCTACATACATGCATAATGTGTGCATGTGTGAGTGTGTGTTTGTGTGTCTGTTTATGTGTATGTGTGTCTGTGTATGTCTGTGTGTCTGTGTATGTGTCTGTATATGTGCGTGCATGTGCGTGTCCGTGTGCGTATGCGTGTCTGTATATCTGTGTGTCTGTGTATGTGTGTGTTTACAAGTGAGATGTGTGAATAACAACCAATAAACAGTAAACACAAGAACAAATACAAATAACAAAAAATTACACATACATATAGAGACAAAAAGTTCCAAGTATATTTAAGCAAAGCAATCAAATACCACTATTGATATCACTTTCCAAATTCAAGATGACGAAAAACACTTTCTTACCTCTAGATCAAGTGACCCTCTATGAGTATAATCAGCACTAGTGTTTAGTCTACGATGAGGTGGCCCTACAATGCGCCGATAGATGCCATCCACCATGCCATCCACAGTATTGAATATTGTGTCAGGCATGGACCTCACTGCCTCACTCACACTACGTACACCTAACTTGAAATTGTCCTCTACCTGGCGATCAGATAAAACCAGTGAGGAAGTCAGCATTGGAACAGAGACAGCTTATAAATGATTAAGACTAATTTACCAGAGCAAGATATACTGACCCAACATTTTGATTTCTACAGTGAAATATGAAAAAAAGCCTGATTTCAAAGTGGCTATGTGAATTCACTCTCATTTTCACTTCATTTACTATCATTATAACCTGATTCACCCTATGTTTGTACATCCTAATTACTGAAAAGAGGAGGCCATTGTTCCAATATGACTTTTTGTCAAGTATGAATCTAAGACACAGGGGCATCATTACAGCAATGGTTGGTTGGGAAGCAGGGATTTTTGGGCAGGTTGGTAAGCATATATATATATATATATATATATATATATATATATATATATATATATATATTATATAATATATATATTATATATATATATATATATATATATATATATATATATATATATATATATATATATATATATACATTGTTTTTAAGAGCTACTCCTGGGCATTTTATATTTAACCAAAGAAGATGGTGAAGAAAAAAGAAAAGAAAAGAAGAAATAATTATAGCCCGGGGGGGGGGGGGCAAACAGTTTTTTTTTGGGTGGGGTGGGGTAGGAGGTAGCCCCCCACCCCAGCACATCAATTGATGCCCCTACTGTATATCTAATTACATCATGGAAATGATTATAACACTACTAGGTCAAAATTACTTCTTGATTAAAAAGATGATGATAATAATTAACTAACTTCTTATCTAAATACAGCAAACCTGCACACACACACACACACACACACACACACACACACACACACACACACACACACACACACACAAAGGCAAACAAACAAAAATACATACATTTCCTATATGACCACATATATACACACACATATGGCCACATATATATACATATATATACAATTTTATGTACAAAAAGAAAAAATCTTGCACATTCTACAAATCAGAAAAAATCATCAAAAAAATTTTCTTTCCACTCTGAAAGAGATAAGTTTTTCTATACAAGACTTTATGGCATTTGCTTCTTCAATTGCATAACTACAATATTCTGTTTATGGCCTGAGTAATCTTCTTGAACTATCTTTATCAATAAGAATTGCATTTATATCCTTAGTACAGGAATCTTACCTGATCCTCCTGACGCTATCTATCCCCAACCCTACTTCATCTTTGATTTTCTATTCCTCAAGCAAACAAATGGAAACCCATCCTAGGTGTACTTTATGTCTTGGATCCAGTTGCTTCACAGCAATGACATGGACCAAAATACTGGCATCTGGTTTATGTCAGCAGGCACTCTGCTGGAGGCATGGTGTGTAGGCTGGGAAAAAGCAAACAGTCATGTGTGGTAACAAGACTCTGTGACTCCGCTTTGCAATGTTATTTTCTCTTGTTTTCTTTGACATTTTCCCAAGTCCATATTTGTCATTTGATCTGCTTTATCAAGATGGTAATAGACTGTTTTTCTTGCAGACTCCATATCTCTCAGGGTAGTCCATAACTCAGTGCAAGAAACTATTAAACATTATGCTATTCGCATAATTTTCTATTTTTATCCTGGTATTCTATTTTTATCCAGGTATTATCCTGTCATGGTTGCCAGGCATATGATGCTGAGCTTGAAAATGGTGTCCTCCCTAAGGCTGACACTCTTCCAAGCATGGCTCACGGAAACTAAAATCCACACACTTGTATATGTGATAATGGAAATGCCCCTTTCTAAACACCAGATAACTCTAATCATCCTCCAAGAGGTTTGTACACACATGGTGAGTCTTTCCTTCACCCCTGGCCTTCAGCTGAAACGCTATTGACGACAAATTTGCATCATCCTGCCAGCAGCCATATTTTACATTGATGGCATGTTCACATCACCTGCCCTTAATCCAAATTTTTTCATGACGTGATGCTCACATCATCCAGATTGAAGAGATTAATAAAATTACAATTCACAAATATTCTTAGCCTTTTGATGACTGGTGTACATGTATAAATAATGTATCTACTAGAGTTTTATCACACTTTAACATATACACAAGCATGGAGTCGACAAGGAGTCAATTACCTGACTTTCTCTATCATAAATATAATCAATAATTACAAATAATTATGATAATAATAATGATTATGATAATGATGATAATAATAATAATAACAACAACAATAAAAATAATAACAACAATGATAATAATAATAATAATAGAAAACAACAATGCTATAGAAATAAAACTGGTTATCCTGAAAAATTCAAAAGGTCAGCCAGGTAAGGTTTGGTAGGCCTAATGAAGGCCTGGGAGATGGGGAACACTTGCAATGAGTGCACAAAGCTTTTGGAGGATGATTAGACTCATCTGGCATTTAGGTATGAGGTTTTGCACTATTTCTATCAGTAAACGAGCATGTAATGTAGCGTCCATAAGTCATGACTGGAAGAATGCTAGCTCCTGGGAGGACACTATTTACATGCTTAGGATCTTATTCCTGCCTGCCATAACTGGTGGAGCAGGTTGTATTACAGAAAATTGACACAAATAACAAAATGTTACTTATTGTTATCATTATTGCCATTAGTTATAGACTACCTATAGAGATGATATGGAGGCTGTGCAAGGCAAACAGTCTATTACCATCTGGATAAAGCAAGTCAAATGAAGAATATAGACATTGGAGAATGACAAAAAAGGCTGAAAGTGCTTATGCAGAAAAAGAGAAAATGCAATAAGAATGGAGTCTTGTCACTACACATGAGTGTTTAATTTGTGCCACACGCATAAGCCTAAATCCTAATATCTTGGGCCATATGATGGTTGTGAAGCGTATGGATCCAATGGGTTAAAATTGTCCTTTGCTATTTAATAAATTCCAGTCTAAATAGGAAAAGTAACATACTAATATTGATAAAAAGGCTTAATCTTAAGGGAATCGTTGCATATGGGGGGGGGGGGGGTCAAATTGAGTTAGCCAGTGTATAGTATAGATATATGGAATGCGGAAACTACTAAATGAGTATTAAAGGCCTCCTGTGGGTAGTTCGCTTGCAGCCGACGCGAGACCCACTAAAACCTGGGGAGGTATGTTACTAATGAGCGCCCAGGTACACCTATGTGGACTTTTACTTGTTGCAATCGTGCATACGGCATTTCATTATGACACTGCACATATATTTGAATTTGTGAATGTTCAAGGAAGACTTTTATACCTATATCAGAAAATGATATCACCGTGATTTATGACAAAATATTTTGTGAAATATATCTAAAAAAAATGCATGTTTTGTGTCCTTTTAAAAGTGAAATATGCTTCCATTGAGACTCCCTGGTAATATGTTGTAGCTTAGAAAGTGATATGTACATATACCGAGTACGAAGTATTAATGTTTGAAAATAGCCGTATAAGTAAGGATTGAAATATTTCCATTAGACTTCGCTCAACAGTCAGTACATCACAACATCGGTAAATTTGATTTGATTTGAAATTGGTCGTTACTGCTGTAAAGGGCAATTCAATATGAAGGGTATCTAAAAGTCGGATTTTTGAACTTCGGATATATGAGATACTGATTACTTCATATTGAAGATAGTACACAGTAATACCTACTCTGAAATAAAAATTATATGGAATTTTGTACTTGTTTGTATGCGCAGTCTTCGTCAAGAGTTGAAAATGCTATTGCATATGTTTTGTGCGTTCCCGATAAAAAAAATTACGTTTAGATGTTACCATAGGTTGGGAATACCATAAATTCGCAAATACTTTTAAAAACTTTATGTGCATGTGTTTACGATCATATGATCCTCCTTGAAAATTATCCCCCCCCCCCCCCCAGACTTTATAACTAGGTTGTTTTGTACTGATGTTGCCATCCATATTTC